CCAGTTCCCAGATAAGCTCACAGCTTTCAACGAGGGAGGAACCAGAGAAAACTCCTCAGAGGGTTTCACAGGGGTTGGAACCTGAACATAGGTAAGAGCACAAAAATACACAAAGGTAAATATTCAGAATGTTACKGGAGGGTAACATGGGCTGTCATACACAGTACCGGAGGTGACTGAATATTCCAGCATCGGATGGATCTCAGCCAGCAGCTTAAATGGTGTCAGAGTCTCATCAGCAGAACACTGTGCAGGTGAGTCCATCCCAGTCTCCGCCCACATGCCAATCTGCAATCAATTAGAAGGAAAACAACCACAACCTCTACAACTATTAAATTGGTCATTGGCAATTTTAATAGTTGACATAATCATGGCTAGTCGACTATGCCCTAGACTTAAACTATGGTGCCTCTTTGTTCTAAAACACTTGCTATTCCTACACATTCTCACTCCCAAGTCGTCACATATTGACGCTTTTCCAAASGTTCCCKCTGCGTCTTATTTTGACGCGCAGGGTACCYCCCTCGCGTCAGTCCTTGACGCCCGCGGATTTTCCGGGTTTCGCCACCAGGGGTCTTTGGGTCGGGGGTCTGAGGTTAACATGACGGATCAGGATTAATGGTTAAATTTTGGTACTGGGATCAGGGGTAGGATGTCCATGGTGAATATTTGGTCATTTTACGCTTTAGAACATGTTGACGTGAATTCCGTACATTTTCTAAAAATGGTTAATTTTAGGTACTACGGTCAGGGACATGATGTCTAAAGTGAAYAAAGGCAATTTCAGGCTTTGGAACGGTCGTTTTCGGACATTTTATACACTTTCTGAAAATATGACAACAGACTTCGCCCCATCTCGTCAGTAACTGACGTGACGGGGGTACCCTGCGCGTCAACAACGGACGTACAGGGAACCTTGCCAACGCGTCAATATGTGACGACTTGGGAGTGAGAATGGGTTGGCTATTCTCCCAACCAAAACGTTTGGTTGCAAAAGAAATAATTGACTGTTCCGTGACTCTCACCTCGATTATTGTAAAATGCCTGGAAAAGCTGGTTTTGGTTCACATCAAGGACTCAGTTGTCTTGAGGAAAAACATGGCAACGTCTGATGCAATGTCAGCTATCACCCACCCTGCTCTAATTTACCTGGACTTCTGGGACTCATTAGTCAAACTATTTTTTTTATTTTTTGTCTGTATTCCTCCCACAGACACCAGTCAACAAATTGCTGTTGCTGGGACTGAACCTCTCAATGTGCAACTGGATTATAGACTTCTTGATAGTCAGAGCACAGTCAGTGATGATCAGAGGTGTCTTGTCCTCTAGCATTGTTCTCAACGCATGCTCCCTATGGATGTGCCCTAAGCCCCTTCCTTTTACACATGTGGTTGTGTAGTTTCCAGAAGACACAGCTGTTGTTAGATTGACTGTCAACACAATGAGTTTATGTACAAGAGGGAGGTAGAGTACCTTGTTGATTAACCCTAGAAAAATCCAAAGGCAAAACAAATGCATTAACACATCTCCTACCCTCATCACTGGAGGAGAACCTGACTTGGTGCAGGTGCTATCAGTGGGTTTATCCTCTGCAGGGTCCTGACAGCCACCACAGACACAGTAAAGGACAGCCCCCCTGATGCGACATCAAACTTGGTGTGCTGAGAAGAACGCTGGCGTAGATGCTATTCAGAGCATCAGGCAATGATGGATTTTTGAGGGAATCAGCATCCTTCCTTCCTTATATTTGTTGTGATGCTCTTTATGCACTTACACATGCTTTAAGGGTCATTGGTAATGAAATGACTTTGTATCCTCTCAGGTCATCATCCTTACATATATTTAATAAAAAGTGTAGAAGTTTGAAGTGAAAGCATATGAATTACACAATATTTTGTGTCAAATAATGTGGTGTTGTGATATGCAAAATTTAGTCTTTTTGTTTTGAATTATTGAGTTCCTCCAAAAGTAACAATCTATGTCAAGTTTTTGAAATATAAGCATAGATTTTTCCTTTTTGATGAGAGCAAAATGTATTCAGAAACTTATTATTTTCAACAAAAAGGATACTGTTTTACGATGAAAAGTCACACTGTGATGACAGCTCTGCCTGCTATCATCTGCGAAAGGCTGCTAATCTGCAGGGAGGTTGGATAATGTAATCAAAGTGTCATAAAAGCACAACAGAAAGAGACGCACGTTTGTCAAAACTCTCGTAAAAAGTTTTTTTAAGACTCTGTTTCCACTCTGAGTGGATGAGCCTAAAAATAGTTTCACTCTGTCTCAGTCACTCAGCTAAGTGCTTTCTGGTCCAAATGTGCACAAAATCAAGGAGACAAAAAAAAAACCTTCTCAACTTTTTAACACATGTAAAGATGAAGTCTTATTACAAATGATGTCTTTTTTGTGTTTTTAAATTTTGTCTCTAAGTAAAAATGAGATTGAAAGGATTTTGATGAATGTCCACTTCACATTTGTCATTGTGTTTAAGCTTTCCTGTCTTCACGTCACAGAGATAATTTAAGACTTTTGTGGGAAAAAGAAAAATGCTAAAACAGAAAAGGTGACTTTTAGTTGCTGTGAAGAAGCTCCAGACGTTGGGTGGGAGAGACCATAAAAAACCTACTGCGAGTGTCAAAATCATTTTAACGGCCTTCCATTCTGTTCAGGTGGAGACAATTGGTGATGCCTATTGTGTCGCTGGTGGCTTGCACAAGGAGAGCGAGACCCACGCTGTCCAAATTGCACTCATGGCTATAAAGATGATGGAGCTTTCAGACGAATGCATGACGCCAACAGGGGAACCAATACAGGTGAGGGTCGAGCACCAATCTCTGTCATTATGCTTATTAAATCTGATTATGCAGCTTCCAGGAATTAGGTGAGTTTTCACAATAAGAGTTTTCTAAAAAAAAAAACAGCCAGAAAAACAAAGGATTACTGGACAAGACATCATTTATTAACAAAAACTCTTGTTTTCTGGAGGCCAAATCTCTTTTCCTGGTGTTAGCCCTAACTCTCCTCCTTGTTCAGATAATTCGAAGTGTCTTTCTAAACAAAAGTTATGAATAAGTAGTATATTTGAATGATCTTAGTTTGGATAAACAGACTTTAATTCTTATGTGGATAGCTAGCAGCTGGTCTAACTGAATGTAACTAATGTGTCCATATTTTTGCCTAGGAAAAAAAATCACATCAAATATCTTCAGTAGCCTTGTTCAGTTAATTCAAATTTCTCAGCTCCAGTGTGGTTTCTAACAAGCACAGACCAGGATGCCTCTGGACATAATTGAACTTGTCACAATCAATCACAGCAACCAAATGTGTGAACACTGTGCATCAATAGTGCTCCTCTCTGCAGCTCCACTGGATCAAGTACCCCTCATTAGAAATAAACAGTTGTGACTGGCCTGGGACAGACTAGACCTTTTGGAGTTGTTTGCGTAAATAAAACAAAACAAAAAAAAGTTCTCACAATCCTCTTCTTCCCAGGCTATATTTTGAGGAGAAAAGCCTTTTAAATGCCATCAAGGACGTTTCACTACTGGCTGCTATGAGCCTCCCTGAATCCCACTTGAAATACCAAAAAACTATTTTTTTCAAATCCTAGCTTTATCTGATGAAAACACATAAAAATAGGCATAAACAGCTTTCGAAAAAGATCTAGTGCCTTGTTGATCCTAACCTTGGTCTTTTGCAAGGACATGACCCTGAACATACAACCAGATCTTTATTATAGCTCCCCAGAGGCCTGATTCGAGCATCGGTTTGAGTTGAACTGGATGCCAATGAAGTTATTAACTGCAGCTGAGAGATCCAAAGAGCTGTTTCCATTCAGTGTTGCAATTTAATGGCTTCTGTATTCAGAAATGTCAGATCTAATTTTATTATTGTCCACCACCATGAAATGGTAGTCAGTCATGTAAATGCCAATGTGTGAGTGTTTGTTTCAGATTGTCTCTTAGCAAATATACATCGTAAATCAGTGGTCAGAATTTAATTACATTTTCAGAAAATAATCATTAGATATATATCTACAATTGTTTTACTTGTATAGTCAACCCAATTCAAGATGGCTGCCACAGCTATACTAGTAGCAAACACAAAAATGGCTATGTATCAGCCGATTTTATAGATATCAAGCTGAAATTTGGTGTGGATGTAGAAATGAATCATCCCCAACACATATGTTTTGCACTAACTCAGAGGTTCTCAAACTGGGGTCCCAGACCCCCCGGGGTCCGCAAGAGGTATCTTGAGGGCCCTCAAAAAATTTCACTAAATTGAATTGTTAATTTGTTTTTTATTTTTTAAATGCACGGGGAATAAAACAAACATAATAAACTAAATAAAAAATATGTTCCCATGGCATTTAGGGGTTGAAATGACAGTATTTTTTCTTGCAAATTATCTTTTAAAAACAGCATGGGGTTTACGAGGGGGTCCCTGGAATTTTTTTGCCCTTGTAAGGGGTCCTCAGACCCAAAACCTTTGAGATCCCCTGCAACTGATCATGTAAGATTTTTGTTTTGTTTGAAGAATATTTCATATTCCAATAGATGGGTGTCCTGGATCTGTGACTGATTAACTTTTGAAGTTTGCCTGGTCCAAGATGACCACAGCAAATCAACCTTTGCAAAGAAAAAAATGTCTCTGAGTCACAAATTTGTACAAATATTTAGCTACAATTTGGTTTGGTAGTAGTTGACAGTCATCCTCATCACATACTTTGAATACTGACAGATCACATGGAGTCTTTATTTCAGACTTGACATGCAAAATGGCAGGGAGAGTTTTATTGCAGTTTTGTTCTTGCACAAACCCTGTAAAGATTAAAAAGAAAAAAAAAAAAGAAAAAAAATAAAATGTACAAGTTCAACATAATTTTTTTATTTAAAATTCATATAAATGAAACATCTGTTGTACTTTATAAACACAATTCCTGATAAGTATAGTTAAGTAAATATGTGTATATTGTTTTATTTTCCAGATGCGCATTGGCCTCCACAGTGGGTCAGTACTGGCAGGTGTAGTTGGAGTCATGATGCCACGCTACTGCCTTTTTGGGAACAATGTTACACTGGCGAACAAGTTTGAGTCTTGCAGCCAACCCAGAAAAATCAACATMAGCCCAACAACCCACAGGTGACCACATCATCCTCACAGCAAAACAATCCTGTCTAATCTGTTTCTAGGAAGTTGCTATACAAGAAGCAGAAAAAAAGGTTCTCCTGACAGAAAACATAGCATTTTAGAAGGGAACTGTGTCTTCTCTCATGTCAAATAATTGGCCACATTGTTTTTAAGATTCATGCTTTATTTGCGCATTCTTTCGTCCCAGGTTGCTGAGAGGTCGCCCAGAGTTTGTCTTTGTTCCCAGGAGCAGACAGGAGCTTCCGCCCAACTTCCCAGAAGACATCCCTGGTGTTTGTTACTTTTTGGAAGCGGCCTTCAAAACTTCAAAACCTTCTAAGAAATGAAGCCAAACTGCCACGAGTCCAGAAAATGTTCGATATGAGAAAAAAAAAAGTCAAGGAATTACAGCGCAACTAAAATACATTCTGTGATTTTATTGGAGTTGTTTCATTGTCAAAACTCTCACAGCAGCTGCTTACAAAGATGTCAGTTTGTTGTCAGACATGTTGTCTCTGTATTATTATCTATTTGTACAGTTGTGGTAGAAAGAAACACACTTCATTTTCTTCCAGAATGAGTCATCTCTGCAATTTAATATATTTGTGCTTTCATGTCTTGCTTCCACCACAGAGATGCAGATTGTCACGGAAAGACTTTAGGACTGTTTTGTTCTTTTTAACAAAGAGGTGCAAAATACATAAAAACACAGTAATTGTTGCCAAAAATAAAATAAAATAAACCTAAAAAARGCAATTTTTTTTTAGAAAAAKAACTATTGTCCTACACAGTGAGATTGTTACTGTATTTTTGTTACATGACATAGTTATATTTGTTATAAAAAATACATTTTGGATGTGATGTAGCTCAACAAATAGTGCTCTGTAATRATGTGTAAATTTATGCATACACAGACTTGCTGAAGCACCTTGCCTCGATGGTAGAAAAGCAATCAAATAAATACAAAAAATCAAAAGCATACAAACTGATAAAAAAAGCTACTCTAAGATGTGACATCAAACAATTAAATCAACGCAGAGCAGATTCAGGTGCCTTATGGGAAATCATAGATGTGCCAACAAGTGAAAAGGTCTGTTTTCAGTAGTTGTTCTTGTTTAATAATATTATCATTATTGTTATTATTGTTATTATTGTTATTATTGTTATTATTATTATTATTATTATTATT